ACATGCCAGACACGCTATTTGACACCTTGCTCTTTTGACTTGACCACAAATTTTAGAGAGCAGCCATATCAGTTCATGGTTTCCTCAGCCTTTCCAATGGTTGCATAGTATTCAATTTTATGGACTATACTCTAATTTATGTAACCAATCCATGGTTCAGTCATCCTCAATGAGTTATTTTTTCATTCTTTCATCTGTAATGAATGCTCTTGTTCTTATATCATTCCACACATGTGTAAGCATATCTGCAGGATAAATTCTCAGATTAGGTTTTTCCGAATTAAATGGTATGGACATTTAACATTTTGATTCCTATTGCTAAATTACCCTACTAAAGGTTATGCAATTTGTACTCCCATTAGCCATTTTATTGGTGAATCCTGCTTGTGTAAAATATCGCTACTTTTCTTCATGTCTGAATGAATATAGTTTAAATCCATCTCTACTGGGTCAGAGTGAGGTTCGTAGTCTGAGTAGTATCTTCATGCCAGGCCTGAACCTCCTCCTCCATCCCTCAGGAGCCCTTCGTTGTCTGTTTCTGTCTCCCAAGTGTGCCTTGTGCCTCCTATCCTCAATCCATTGCTTCAACAGTTTCTTCCATTTAGAATCCGGTACAGTGAACACTTCTGGAGAAACAATCAGGGCTGGGTACCAAGTAGAACACTTTACATCTATTATTACATTTAATCATCAAAAGTAACTCCAGGAAGTAGCCGTTTGCATACGCATATTGCAAATGAAGAAACTGAGGCTCAGCCAAGTTGAGTAAATATACTAAGGTCATCTAATTAGTATGTGGTATATTTTCATCAAACATTCGGAATTTATTCTTCTTTCTCCCACCCCAGTGCTTCTCACACCAGAGCATAACTTAGGGCAGAGGAAAGGACGTGCACACCCTTGAACTGTCTCTAGGTGCATCCCAAAGCTGCCTGCCCCGAGCCTGCCAAGTTTTCTTTGAAGTCTCCCATTTGTATTAAAAATGCATACATATTTTGAATTTCACTTTTTGATATATCTGCATTTATTTTAATATTTGAAATATTTCAAATTACTTGCTATCAAGTATAAGTGAAACTCCAGGAAGCTGCCAGTTTCCTCTGTGGCTTCCTGAACTCTGGCCCACTGCCTCCAGAGCAGACAAAGGAGCATGATCTGGCCTCCCACAGATAGGCTCGTACCCATCCTTCAAAACCCAGCTCATACGCTGCTTCAACATCAAGCCTCCCTGCAGGGTCAGCAAGCCCAGAGTGGTGTCTCTGTCCTAAAGAACTCTGAACTACAGCTCAGCCCCATGGCTTGGACTAAAACTGCAGGGCATCTTTCCTTTCTTTGACTATAATCTACGTGGATTCAGTCTATCTATCAAACATCTTCAAGTACTCTGCAGCAGAGAAGAGGCTTGTGAAATGTTTAAGGAAAAAAGCATTGAAGATGATTGAACACATTATTTTCTTACCCACATTTACTTTTCCAAAGGAATTGGAAATTGCCAAAATAAAGTCTCCCTTTGAATCCCAACTTCTCTTAAACACTCCTAAATCTTGCTTGAAGTAGTTATCTTAGCCTGGTAGTCCCTTGGAAAGCACGTTTAGTTTGCCCATGCACATACACCCAATTCCCAGTGATGTCCCTGTCACATTGATTGACACTGGGCATGCCATTCATTCCTTCCCCTGTCTCTGGAAAGTGGGGATAATTGCATTTGTCAGCTAGCACTCAGGAATGTTGTCAGAGTTGATGAAACATTGTTTTTAAAAGGCCTCTTTGGAAGTAGTATGCCACATAAATCACAGCCCCCCATTAAGCTGGTTATTTTAGTGCTTATTTATTTAGCAGTTGAATAGAACACTGATATTTCTTCCCAGATAAGTCATATTGAGTTGCTGGATGCATTAATACTCAGGCCCAAACAGAATTTTGTATGTATAACCTTCTGATGAACTTGGGAATTAAACTTGGTACATTTCCTTTCTACTCTTGGAAGTTTTCAAGTTGATTATCACTGTGAACATGTGTCTGGGCCATTCCTAGCCAAATACCAGTGCATATATGAGATAATAGGTAAAAATACTACAGCCTTGTGAACATATTGATATTTTTCTGTCTCCCACATTATCCAATATTTTAAGAATTGAATCCCAATATTTAAAAATGTCACTACTTTCATGAAGCATCCATAATTTTTCCATCTCGGAGTCTCAGATCTGTGTCTCCAAATTAGCCATACCTTTTACAGTATGATAGACCATCTGAAAACTGGATGATATGAATTTTTAAATTCTAGTAACTGTCTATAAATGTACTGTCCAAGAGTGACTAGCCACAGTTGTGAAAATAAAAAACTTAATCCCTCAGTTGTACTAGGCTACAATTCAATTGCCCAATAGCTCATGTAGCTAGTGGCTACTGTATTGGGTAGTAGCATAGTTACAGAACGTGCCCATCTTCATAGAAAGTTCTATTGGACAGTGCTGGTCTATAAGATTTGTATCTTACAAGACTAATGTCTTTAGCTGAGATATTTTTAGATTTCTGTTCTTCCCTTTCTCCCCTGTCTGAGATCTCTCCCCCTCATACTATAATGAAAAATTTTAATTGTTTGGGCCTTAAAAACAGTTTCATCTCCAAGGCCATGATTTGAACACAAAGTCTGAGGAAAATGACACGTGGAATCGCCATCTGGAGGTTGGTGCAGTGGCAGATCCAGCCATTTCTGAGAAATTGTCTGAGTCTGGAGTTACTCCCAGAACTCCGATTTAGCAGTTCCTAAGCTTATAGCATGTCTGAAAGGAACACAAATCTGTTTTGTATATACAAATAAATCCTTGTATGCTGCATGCCATTCTCAGCCTGCCAGTTTCATCTGGCTGCTCCAGAAAATATAAGTCAATAGCACATTAGTTAACCTGCCTGCAGGGAATGGGGCATTTTGATTATTGGAATGTTCTGGTTGAGTGATTAACCTGATTTTTGCAGAAAAACTGCCGAGGCAAGGGCTTTTCTGTCCAAGACGTTGTGCCACTGTAATTCTCTCTTCCAGATGACCACAGCTGCCTTGCTTCATTCCTCCAGCACTCAGAAACACATATCTTTGCTAAAAACTTTCAAATATGCAATTGATGGACTCTCAAAGAGGCCTCATAAAAAATAGATCAATAATGTTGTTTCAGATAGTCTTAAAAAGAAGAGTAAACTTAAAAGGAAAAGTAAGGTCTTTGCCCAATTTTTACACAGTTGTAACATTCAAGAGTTCCTGACAGCAGGGCAGTTTCTTCAAATAGTATAACTTGAAAATATTTATTCACATATTTTATTTTCTTTAGTAATAAATACTTAAAAGTACTTCCTAGATGTTAGGCAATGCCGTATGGGCTTTACAAATATTAATTCATTTAATTTTTATCACCACTTTAGAATTAGGTATCACATCATTATATTCATTTTAAAGATGAAGAAACTGAGGCCCAGAGAGCTATGATAGACCGTAGCCGGTCTACCTGAACGCTCACTGGGACAAGAGTTTGTAGCATCAGTGGGTGAAAAACTAGGTTTATGAGAGGGGACCTGGCTGAGTTAGGTGGCTCCTACTTCCCCCACCTACCCCTTCCCAAATATGAGATGAGTGGAGTTGAGGGGCCAGTATGCAGAAGGGAGAATAAGGACTCTGGCAATGCTCAATTAGGCCCAAAGTGGAAAATGGAGTCAGGAGAGGCTTCTCTTAATTTTTACTTAAATAATCCTTGCCTGTGATGTGTAAGAATGTGATGGGGATATACAATTCATTCCATTTTGACTCTCAAAAGTAATCAATTTTTTTCCAATTTGGCAAATATATATTGAGCAATGGGCTAGCACTGGGAAGGACAAGAGCAACACAGAATTGACTAAGGCATCATTTTGATCCTTGACAAGCTCCCAGTTTAATGAGGGAAACAGTCAAATACAAACGAGTAATCATATGAAGTATGTTATGAAACACGTGCGCTACAAGGGAGGGTCCGAAGTGCTGAAAGAGCCAAGAGGACGGTCAGTTCTGACCGAGGAAATCAAAGCGGCTCTCACGGAGGGGTGGCTTTGCCATCCAGCTTCAGAGATGAGTAAGAACTCAGGCATCAAAGGAGGACGAAATTAGAAATTACAGTTGTGAAACCCAGACGTCTGAAAGACTCTGATGAGTACTATAAAGGTAAGAAGGCCTCAGTGGTGAAATAGTGAATGGCAGTGTGTGTGAGTGTGAGTGTGTGACAGAGAGAGAAAGAGGCAGAGAGAGAGAAGTAGGGAAAGAAGAAGATGTGTCTAAGGAAGGTTGTAAAATTAAATGAGCTTTCATTTTTCAGACTACCCAGCAAATAGCAGATATTGGATTCAAGAATTTCTACATCTCATTTCATTGCAATTCACACCAAGTAATATATATTTTTTGGCCAAGTTTATTTTAACATTTAAGTAAAAGCCAATAAACAAATACTAGAAAAATCTATTCTCACTTTCAAGTGTGTTTTTCCACAGAGTCTGGAAAATATTTTAAACTTTGGAATGGGTAAAGTAGGGAAAACTAAGACAATTTCTAAAAATGTTTTATCTGGGAAAACTTTAAATAAATCCTGGCCAGAAGCTAAAAATGTTTGAGCACTACCAGTGCCTTTGACCAAAAAAAATAAAATAAAATAGAATAAGAACATTTAAAATATAAGGAATGAATAATCAAAATAAAAGGAAAAGGTTTTCTTTGCCCAGAGAGGTTTCATTGAGGTTTTGTTGTTATCAGTGATAGGATGGAGTATAGATCTTACATTTAAAATATTACTTTACAGTTACATTGCATTTATGAATTTCTAAGTTTACATTTTCTCTTATTTTTATCTCTGTTAATTTAATAGCTTGTTAATATGCCTCATACAATCTTAGCAAAGGTGACTATAACTGCTTTGTTTAAACAGATTTTTTAGTGGCCCAAAGGAGCATCTTTGTAACTGCATTTCTGTCTTTTCTGGCAGATGACATTTGATCCAGAAATCTTCTTCAATGTTTTACTGCCACCAATTATATTTCATGCAGGATATAGCCTAAAGAAGGTAAATATACATTGATCGTTTTATTCTTTTACCATTAAGTAGAGAATTTTACCAGCACTAATGAAAAAAAAGTTATTTCATGGGTTTACCTATTTGGTAAGAAGATCATTATCTTAGATTATGTGATATAGATTCAAATCTGACATAGTTAGAATTCTTCTAAACCTCCTCTGTCCAATACACTGGCTGATAGCCCCATGCAGCCATTAAGCCCTTGAAATGCAGGTAGTCTGAGTGGAGATGGGCTTTAAATGTAAAATACGCACTAGATTTTACAGACTTAGAGTATTAAAAAAGAATGTAAAATATTTCAATAATGTTCTATATTGATTTAATGTAGAAATGATAATGTTTTGGATATATTGGGTTAAATAAAACATACATTATCAAAATTCATTTTGCTTTTTTAAAACTAATTTTAATCTAGCTACCAGAAAAATTTTAAATGACACACATGGCTTGCATTATATTTCTATTGGACAATGTTATTCTAGATAATTGTAACCAGACAGTTTGCTGTTAATTGACATTGGGTTTGTCCATCAAGAATGCTTTGCTAATACTCAGCTGTTGATGCTCATAGAGAGAAAGTCCAGTTTTGCAGTTTCTGTGCACTTGCCTGACCTTACTTAGGTATAGCCTGAATGTGCAAATTTCCTAGATTAGTAATTCACATAATAGTTTGTGTCATTATCCCCTGTGCCAGAGAGTGAGGCTCTGCCTGTATGAGTTTTGAGATTCAGAGGTAGTGAGGCTGTTTTTCTGCTTCCCATCCCCCAGCCCGGAGATTCCAGGGGCTCTCCTTCCTTTGGCCTGTGCGCTGCAGCAGCCAGGCAGCTTCTTCCATACAGACCTGATTTTCTCGTGTTCTCCAGGCTCCCTCTTGCTGTTAGTTCTGGCTACTCAGATCCCACTTACAGAACTAGAAGGGAGTTTTCCCAAGCAAGCATGTGAAAGATTTAGAAGGCTGGATTTATTCAGGTCATCCTTCCTCACCTCAAGCCCCAATACTAGGCGTCATTTTGTGTGATTCGTTACAATAAATTGCTGTAGGTGATTAAGGTTTTGTTTCATCATAGTTAGAAGAAATATGTCAGAGATCCAATAAAAGTAAAAAGGCAACTTATATTTCTTGAATAGTATTTTTAAAATGCTAAAGGAGTTCCAGTGACAACAAAACTTCTTAAAAACTCTGTCTTCCCTCAATCATACCAGCGTCCTGCGTGGACAGTGCCCCCATCCCTTCCCTCTCTCTCAGGTCCAGCCGGTTCTGACAGTCATCTCTCTCATCTCTACCCTGTCACCTTCCAGATGTATTTTTTCCCTTTTTCTTTGAGAAACCTCTGTCCTTTGCAGTATCAGTCAGTCAAGTCTTAATTATACAATAAGGCCGGGAACTGAGGCTCCAAAAACAAAATTTGCCTAAACAGTGAGGGAAGGGAGGGGCTTTGAAAGTGCATACGTTTATTTTTATTTCCTGTTACACTAAGAGAAAATGCTGTACTATATGAAATATATATTTTTTCTCCCCAGAGACACTTTTTTCAAAACTTAGGATCTATTTTAACATACGCCTTCTTGGGAACTGCCATCTCTTGTATCGTCATAGGGTAAGTGACGTTCGGAGCTCAAGGGCCAGGAGGCTTCGGGGCCAGTGATCTGTAGGAGGATTCTCACACTTCCTGGACTCACACTGACTGGGTGAATTGTCTATTTTTTTCAGTATATCACATCTTTACACATTTTTCTGGCTCAATTCCAAAGCTTACATGCCTTCTGACGAACAGAAGTTTTCAAATTAAAGCAAACTGGAATTAGATGGCTGGATTTTCTCTGTCAGTTTTCGACTTCTGACTTAGGGAATGTAAATAACTTGGCTTGAGTTACGTGAAGCACATGGCATTCTTTCTTTTTCCTTTTTTTGCTTAAGTAATGCAGATAAGCACATTGAATTCTTTTTTCCATCTCCTTTGCAGGACCCTACCTGTATTTGACAGGTGTACAGTACTAACTATATGTCACGGGTTTTCTTTCTAAGGGAAAATTTACAAGAGAGCAGTCTGACACAGACATCTGCAAATAACAGCAGAGTTGTCTAATACCGGGATGGCTTTTTGGTCGGTACAGTGGAGAATGCAGACTTGTTTTCTCTCATTATATTTTATTGGTTATGCTGCTAAACCCCGAGTCTAACTATACTGGCTTATAGCTCATCATAAAGCAAAATGTGGTACAAAATGGTGAAGCCAATCCAATTCACTTATAACCCTATGCAATACATTAACTCTCCACTGCAGAAAACATGTCCAGTTGCTATGACGATGGGGTGTGGATGTCTTACATTGTCTGATATGCCAACTCTACCCTTGAATTTTACTGCACACAGCTGTTATATCCTAACACAAGAAACTGAAGCTAAGAACACATGCTATCACTCGTCCAGCCCTTCCCTTGTGAAGTGATTAGTGTGTGTCACTGGAAGGCTCAGGAGGTCTCATTCTGTGCACCTGAAAGCAGGGGGCTTTTATGATGAATTCTCCATTAAATTTTTATTGATTTAAGCCTAGAACAACTCAGGCTACATTATATGAAAATGTCCAGCCTGGTTAAGGCAGTGAGGAAGCTAAAGATTTTAGCCCCCGAAGGTGGAGGCTTGCAGGAATGTGGACTGGGGAGCCTCATCAAGTCTGGAGACCTAACAGGTCTTTAAATTGTTTGTGACTGAGAGACGCAGTAGGTTTGATCCTTCTCGGAGCATCTTCAGGGGAGGGCTTCTCTGTTCGGTGGGTATGCCACAGCTAAATATTCAAATTTCAAATTTGGCGAGGGCCTTAGAGACCTGTGTAATTAAAGCCCCTCATTTTGAAGAAGATGAGGAAAATAACATCTTGAAATCTAGTTAATGATCTCAATCTCACCGTCTGTGAGAAGTAGGGTCATGATCAGGACAGGATTCAGAACCTGGGCTCCTGAGCCTGCAAGTCTTACCATCACCCCCCCTTCCTGTAGCAATTTCTCTTGAATTCCTGTACATCCCTATACATTGTTCCTGTACATTGACAGAAGGCTCTGAGGTGTGTGGACTTTCAACAAACGTTCATCGGTTTATAGCAAAGATTGATCTGTAGCAGTTCTATAATATAAGGATCTGAATTTTATAATGGATCCAAATTCTGAACTTGTGGACAATGCTATGCAACTATGGAATAATCAGTTTTTACTATTATCCTGTTTCTTTTGTATAACTGATTTTAAGTATACTTAAGTGTATGCATTTATATAATATGCTTTCGTTATCATGCAAAATCTATAAATTTATTTTTTTTAAAGTGCAACAATGTATAATGTGTGTGTTGTACATAGTTGACTTGTTCTAAAATATTTCAGTTCAAGAGATCTGGTGATATTCATTTACTGGAGTTGGGAACCTTTTCTAACTGATTTTAAGGCTGCAATCAACAATTTATAATGGAAAGTAATTTGGATAAAAAGTACAGCGCCTGGAAAACTTTAAAACTATGTTCCTTGTTTGAACGGGGCATAATCTGAACAGCAGAAACTTGCAGGTTCCTTCTTAATGTGGGTCATTAGATTCAAGTGCAGAAAGGATAGATAGTTTAAAGATTTTAGAGTCTTATCCAGCAAGGTAAGGGAAACCATTGAAGAGCTTTAGCTTGGGAGTGAAAGGGTCAGATTTACACTTTAGGCAGGGCATTCTAGTGGCTGTGTGAAGGAGAAATTTCAAAGTGGGGAAAAGATGGCAGCAGAGGACCATTTAAGAGATGATTTCCATGGGCCAGGTTGGAAGTGATGAGGGCCTGGCCCCAGGCAGTGACAGTAAATGCGGATGTGGAGTCATCAACTTGTAGAAATCCTGAGAGAGAATAGGGTCATCCAGGGCAAGTGTGTGGAGTGAGGAGGGAAGGCACCTGGACAATAGCACTATTTGAAGAAAGGGAAGAGGCGCTCACAAAGGACTGAGAAATATGGGGCCCAAGAAAAGGGCAAAACCCAGCAGGGCATGTGTCTGGAAGTCAAAGGAAGAAGGAGAGGGAGGGTGGACAGTGTCTAACACAGGAGAGGTCAAGTGGGGTAGGAATTGGGGTATCCACTGGATTCAGCCCCTAGGCGGTGATGGGCGACTTTACACTGGTCCTAGGGGCAGAAATAAGGGGAGAGTATTGGCAAGCCTGATTGTTTTGGGTATTGTATGATGAGAAACAAGTATGTATTTTTATGCTGTTGATTTCCACTGATACAATTTCAGAACTACTGACACTTTCATAATTTAGTGACTCTCATTGTATGAGTCACTCAAACTTACACTCAAACCTTAGAAAATGACTGGTCATATTTTTCTGATAAATTAATGGTGATAAGAAAAATACAACAAATGTTTATTGAATGCTCTTTTTAGAAGTACTTTACATGGGTCATTTCATTTAATCCTCAAAATAATCCGATTAAGTTAATACTGTTGTTACCCTCATTTAACAGTTGAGACAGCTGAGGTTTAGCGAGAATAACACAGTGTAAGTAATAGAGCTGGTATTAGTAACTAAATAGCTTGGCTCCAGAGTCAGATTCTTAATGCCAAAAATTTGCTTTACTTCTATTTGTTATTAGCACTAAAAAATAAAATTTAAAATATTAAACTAAACAATAAAATTGTATAAATGAGTCAATATTCACTAACATGCCACATGTTTCTTCATTAGCCCCATAGGAGTTCTCACAGACATGAGAGATTTTTATTTGGGAATCCCATCCAAAAGGAATTCACATTTTTAGGAGGAAGAAGGGATGCGTGGGTTTATGCAGATATACTCATACTTGCATGAAATGGGCAGGAAGAAAGATTCAGGACAGTCAGTTAAACTGGACTCTGAGAATAAGAGGAGGGAGATTCTCGGAGATCATTTAATGGAGAGGGATGAGGTAGTTGTATTTTCCATGCCATCAAGTGCATTAGTCCTGGTGGGGGTGGGGAACATTGTACAAGGTTCCAAGTTGGAGAGGAGGTTCACAGAGCAGTGTAAGAGAATGTGGGAACTGAAATGCTGGAGAGTGAGCTGACAGATGGCCATGAAGCCCAGGATCAGAAATTTAGGAGAATGTGAAGGCCGTGAAGGGTGATTATGGGACACAAATGAAAACTCCGCTAGTGGGCCATGGTCTTCTGTAGGTGAAGACTGTATCTAATTAAACTACAGGTTGGTTTTAGAGCTGGACTCAGATGTTTATAGGAATTGAGATGATTGAGTATATTTAAATGAAACAGTTCTTAATTGTTTTATTAACTTCATATCATTTCAGAAATTAGATGTAAACCATCTTTCATATCACTTGAGGAAGTTTAACAATATCCCTTCTGGCAATAAAATCAGAGAAACCTTTAAAAAATTTTTTTAAGGATGGACTGTACTTAAGGAATTTAACCACCGTTTCTATTCCTCTCCCTATATGTATTTAAGAAACATCTTAAATACATCTGTTTTTAAATAAAATCCATGTATTTGAAATTTTTCCCTATTCATATCCTGCATCTTTGGGGACTATTCCTTTAACTTTGACCATACGTCTCCACTCTTATGTGCCACCCAGATGTATCATCACAATGACAACCTATCTACTGCTTACGGTCAACACATACATTTTGTCCTAAGACTCATTAGTATCCATGAAATGCTTCTTTAAGAGCAATTAAAATGATATTCTTTCAGTTTCTCTGTTAATGAGGAATTAAAACAAATTCCATAGTTTCAAAAATATCTGGAGAAAGGGACATGGATCTAAATGATGGAGAATGGAGTGTTAATTTTAAGAATAGCTCACCTTTTAAATCTCATCTTATGAGCCAGACACTGACCTATGCTTTTCACACGCATTATCTTGTTTTATTCTCACAATGCCCCATGTCACAGGTATTATTATTATCCTTATTTTACATACAAGGATGCCGAAGTTGAGACTTGCCCAAGGTTACGCAGTAAATCAATGGCGGTAAATGGCAGAGCAGTCTGACTTCAGAACACACACTCAGAATCTCCTTGTCCTCCTCCTCCTCCTAATATACTTTACATTCCTTGTAGTGTTTTGCAGTTAATAACCACATCTGCTAGACAAACCAAGCCCTCAATAATTTCAGATTCTTACATTTCTCTTATGGCTAGCAATTAGGAAAAATATGAATATTTAAGAATGATCTGTGAATATAATTGCAAAGTAGAACTGGAATCTGTCTTTTCTTACTGGAGGTAGTTGGAGGGATGGTATAAATCCATTTTATTTGGTTAGAATTGCTGGACTCTGGGTAACTCACTCTGGAAAACCTGGATTCATAAATGTGCGGCTGTTTATGCTATTTATATCACTATTCCTCAGGAGTATTGATTTTCCTCTTGGGCTCCTCGATAGAAGAAGCCATGCGTGACACTCTGCCCCTCAGACCATAAGGCATATGAGTGAAGGGGGCCTCATGGAAGCCCTCGATATGCCCTCTTGTGTCATCGTGTCTGCTGACCTGGGGCCTAATCCCTTGGTGCTGCTTCTGGAATTGCTGTTGCTCTGTCCTTAACTAGGATAAGGTATGGTGAGGTTCAATAGTCTA